GAAAGTTTTGAGTCGGTTCGAGTCTCTTCCGAACCGAATCGAACCGACTCATGGACAGCCCTAATAAAACTTCTTAAGATTTATGTGTTCTCCATTGAGATTTTGATGAAATATTTAAAGTCTAAGTGTCCTCGATAACTCATAGATTTATAAGGATTTTACTAATAGGGAGATTTTAAAAGATTTGGATAAATTTCAAACTTAAAAATACATATAACAAACTCTTTTGAAATTTTACCATTTCTGATGAGATTCTTATGAATTTTGTGGAAATTTATTAAAATCCGTGAAATTAATTAGAATTTATGATCTTTCAAATTCCATCGAAATCTCATTTGAAGACACCCTTTAGAAACATGGACAAATAGATTACTGTAGTAAAACAAAATTCCATGAGAGAGAAGCCCACGGCTAAGAGAGGAAAATATAGAGAAAACAAAAGGCCATGTGGAGATGCGTGTGTTGGTGAGTCCGCTCGAGCATTAGTCTATTAGTTTTATCTAGAATTACGATGACATATGACAAAGTTCAAAGAGATTGTCGGGATGTAGAGAGAAAAATGCGAAGAGAGAAACTAGAAGGAGAAATAGTATGACCGGGTGAGTGATATACATTGAAGTATTCTAGTTTTAGATTGGGAGAAGTTATGAGAGTGAGGAAAACATTGTGGGTATGTTAGAGGGTTTTGTTTCTTTCAACTCGTTTTTTATTTTTGTTACCACTTCGCGTTGGGTGGGATTTATTTCCCAACAAGTTATAATCTTGACATCTTGAATAGTGTGTGAAATGGTTGTTCCGATGTCTCTTTAAAGGCAACTTGTAATCATATCACCATTGATCCGACTAGAACAAGGCGTGAAAGTGTTGAATAAAAATTAGTTGCAGATACCTTTTAAAAACACAACTAAAATGCAAAAAGTAAGCAACTTATCGACTATTCTAGATTTGTGATAACATGATATCCTAAAGTGATATAGTTTGCCGTAAATTGCTGCGGCCTCTTTGGACTATAACTCAAGATACAACAAACGAATCACTTGTCGAGCAATCACAAAATATTTTTCAAAAAAATTCTCAATATTATTTCAGAATAATATCTCAAAAAATTAAATAATCCTGTTTTTCAGAAATTACAATAATTTAAAAATAATATTAGTGTTTTAAGTGTATTTTTTCAATGAACAAAAGTTGTGTATATATATATATATAGCCACAAAGTTACAACTTCCATCCCTAATAAGTTAAGAGTTCAATAAAATTATAACTATTTTTATAATGGGTAGTTTGATAAAAAAAAAAAATTGATAAATGTGAAAACGATTAAAATAAAAAAAAATTATTTTGATCAAAGAAACCCAAGTCCCAAAACCTAATCATAAACTTTTTAATATTTTATATTCATGTAGAATGTGATTCGAACTGTCGACCTCTTGTATAAATTCCACACCTTTTAAACTTAATAATCTATCCCAATTTAATTTTTTTTTTCAAATAATATATTTGATATATATAAATTCCACACCTTTTAAACTTAATAATCTATCCCAATTTAATTTTTTTTTCAAATAATATATTTGATATATATGTGTGTGTGTGGGTCGTTGAGATAGTATTGCATGCCAAGCATCTAATGGACCTCGTCCACAGCCTTTGGCTTATGATACTCAGTCGTAATGCCATTGAAAATCATTTTTAATCATATAATCGAGACTCGGCTCCTATACTCTCATTTTTTTTTGTGTTTATCCCATAATAATGTCTATGAATTGTCTTGAGCATGAAAGAACACATCATCATTCCACCCTTTATTTAGGGGTGTCGATTTCGCTCGCCAACTCAAGCAACCCGTGGCTTGGTCCAGGAAAAGCTTCAGTCGAGTCGAGCCCCATTTCCGAACCAACTTTACTTGAACCCGAACCTCAAGTTTTGGCTCGCGAGCCGGCTCCACTCGACTCGTTGATATCCCTATGTTTATCTAAGTGTGCAGATAAGGTACACTCCAACAAA